ATACAACAGAACTATTCGCGATTGCTGACTCAGGCAGCCCGATGTCTTTTATAAACAAAAAAACCGCTCAACGATTAGAACAAAATGATCAAACGGCAGTGTTCAAAAACATCCTCCCGGAGGATACAGCCAGAAACTTAGCATGTTACAACGGCGAGTCAATACATCCTAAAGAAAAGCTAATAGTTGCGATTGAGTCGGGAGGATGGAAAATACAAACAGCTCCGTTCATTATAGTGGACAACCACAAAGCAAATGTAATAGGACGGAATCTATTACCACACATTGGCATTAAATTAATTCAGGACAAACAAACCCAAAAGGTACTCACGGTACAACAAAGCTACGAATCAAACCATGAAATTAAACAATGGATCAAGGACAATTTTCAACAATTATGCGTACAAATAGGAAAGTCAAAACACCACGTAATGAAAACAAAATTCAAAAAAGACTTTGAACCGATACAACAAAGGGGCAGACGTATACCAATACATCTACAAGAAAGGGTGGAAGCGGAACCAAGTTGATTGATCAAAAACACAATTTCAAGCTCGATAAGTGCTCAGACCAACAATTTATCAGTTCAATAGTAATCACAATTAAAAAGTACCAACCGGTTAAACTGGCTCTCGATTTCAAATAAATTAACAAATACATACGCAAAAACAAATATCAAATGTCAAACATAGATCTCCTTCTGGACAAAATCGCACAAGTGGTGAAATCAGACAAGTCAAACCAGACACTATTCACTACACTCGATTTACGATACGCATTTTCACAAATCCCGTTGGATAAAACAACACGAGAACAATGCAACTTCAGGCTCATTGGCGGAAATGCTACACGAACATACCAGTTCCAAACACAATTTCAAGCTCGATAAGTGCTCAGACAAACAATTTATCAGCCCAATAGTAATCACAGTTAAAAAGGACCAAATGGTTAAACTTACTCTCGATTCCAAAAAGATTAACAAATACATACACAAAAACAAATGTCAAATACCAAATATAGATCTCCTTCTGGACAATATCGCACAAGTGGTGAAATCAGACAAGTCAAACCAGACACTATTCACTACAGTCTATTCACGATACGCATATTCACAAATCCCGTTAGTAAAAACAACACGAGAACAATGCAACTTCAGTCTCATTGGCGGAAATGCTACAGGAACATACCAATTCCAAACACAATTTCAAGCTCGATAAGTGCTCAGACAAACAATTTATCAGCCCAATAGTAATCACAGTTAAAAAGGACCAAATGGTTAAACTTACTCTCGATTCCAAAAAGATTAACAAATACATACACAAAAACAAATGTCAAATACCAAATATAGATCTCCTTCTGGACAATATCGCACAAGTGGTGAAATCAGACAAGTCAAACCAGACACTATTCACTACACTCGATTCACGATACGCATATTCACAAATCCCGTTAGATAAAACAACACGAGAACAATGCAACTTCAGTCTCATTGGCGGAAGTGCTACAGGAACATACCAATTCCAAACAAGATTTTACGGCCTTACGGATATGCCGGCAGAGTTTCAAAAAGCAGTGGATCTAACGCTCACAAATTGCAATAATACCTAGACGATATTCTAATCGTAACCAAAGGAACGATAGAGACACATCGACAAAAACTCCAAACGGTGGTAACAAAACTTGACGAAGAAAATCTTGCAATTTCGTTAGACAAGTCTAATTTCGCATGCAAGCAAGTTGAGTGGTTAGGTTTCATTATCAACAGTGAGGGAACCAAACCACTTATAAAGAAAACTGAAGCAATTGAAAAAATATCGCCTCTCAAAACGTTCAAACAACCTAAAAGTTTCACGACGATGACAACTTCGTCACAGCTAGAGGCCAGCCACACCGAAATATTGGACACCGTAGTGGCCACAGTTGAGAAAGCCACCGAAACCGAAGAAGAAACGCCGCTATTTCGTCGGAAACTACAGAAAGTACTGGGAATTCTATTCATTGCCGCAGCCACCAAGAAAAACAGAAATCTACGCCCACTGATAAAATTTGTAAAAAAGCGCGACTGGGACGCCATCAAAGCCTCTTACGGACAATATTGGTTCAACAGTCGAAACCGGCTACACGTCCGAGAGGATTACCCACTCATCGATGAAAGAATCGTAATTCCCCCACAACTACGACAGACAGTACTTGACAGTCTTCACCTAACCCACCCGGGATTGGCAGCCATGTTGGATTTGAGTCACTATGTCTGGTTCCCGCACATCCATCGTTCATTTGTGCAAATGGCACAAAACTGCAATCATTGCACAGAGCAAGATAAAAATTTAAAACCATCCCAGGAAAGAAACTTTCATTCCAAATGGAACCGGTAGTCGAACCTAATGAGGAAGTTCAATTAGACTTTGCGGGCCCCTACCGGACGAATTAAACACGTTTTGGTTGCGATAGATAAGTGGTCAAAGTTCCCGACAGCGAAAGTTGTGTCAAACACAACAGCAGATATTGCAATCAAGTTCATGCAAAGATATATCTCTAACAACGGGTTTCCGAGAAGTCTGAGGTGCGATCAAGCTCAAACATTCAGGGCGAAAATTTTTTAAATTTTCTGCAGGCCGAACAACGTAAAACTAGTTTTCGCACCCGTAGACGATCACAGAGCCATAGGGGTTGTTGAACGAATGATTCAAACAATTAAACGTAGACTAGCGGTAACGAAAATAGACCAATCAAATACACCATATTAGCTAGCCTCGGATGTCGCAGAAATAATAAAAACACTAAGAATCACACCACACGGTGTCACAAAAGTTTCCCCTTTTGAGGCACATATGGGTAGAAAATCAAATACTCCAATATCGAACATAGCGACGAATAGCTCACCTAACAATTTAAAATGGGAGAGCGCAAAACATGCATGTTTAGATCGAAAGAACCTTACGAAGCCAACTTTGTCAGCAGAAGTTATGCATGACCTCGAGCGATGGTCAGAAGATGAAGTTCAAATCCGAAAGAAGGGAGCACCACCTAAAGTATCACATAAATCACTACCAAGGACGCTCACAAACAAGCATTCACCAAAACAACCAGAAACAAGTGCAAACTCAAAACCTAAAGAACTAGCCAAGAACAAACTTGACATAAGATAAAAGCGAGTGCAACGAACAATCGACAAAAATATTGCAACATAGAACAAGTGGCACGAAAAACCTTTCGGTTAGCAACAAAAGTAAAAAATCCAAAAACATTTGAACAAAATTATAAAACCATAGATGAAAAAATTCTAACCTACACACCGCACACTGCTTGGGTACAGACTTTTGGCAAACAACCGAGGTTACTAAGAAATAGCGGAACCGCATTTGTTCCTAACCCAGTAATATACGGACCTTGCAGACCTTCTCGTTTAAGCGACTATGTTGCTTACAAATCCGCACGGAGAACATGACCATGCTTACGTTTTTTAGACATAAAGGATCCGCAAGCTCCACAACATCCCATGTTCAAGAAGGACACCACAACGGGGCTCCAAATAAAACTAACAATGCAAGAGAAATCAGCACAAAGCCAGGGCACAAGCAAAGTCAGTCCCACAAAAAGAAAGGCGTTAGGAAAACGGACTGTAGGAAAACCTATAAGAAAATTGCAAACACCAAGAGGAATGAGCCTCCAAACGGAGATTGAACCGACAAACAACGCAGAAAAGGAAGATGATTGGTCATCAATATCGGAGGAAAACACCTCACCTTCACCAAAGCGACAAAACCAGAAAATTACACCGCCTGCGATCGCAACAAGAAAGTCGACTAGAAACCGACAGGCGACATTAGCGACAGCGCTAGGTAACCCCATTCCAACCAACACAGTACAAATCACAAGTGCAACCGGGACAAATAAATTTGAAATTGATTCGCCAAAAAAAAAACAAGATTCGCCAAGCTTAAAATCTCTGATTCAGGAAATGGGATTTTCGGAAAAAAACTCCAGAATATAAAGCTTGTGTACAATTTATACAGGCTATTAGCCCGAAACACAAAACAAGCAACACAAACAATGTGATCGACTTAACTTCACCAGCGGAGGCAGAAGATGAAGCGATGGAAAATGACGACATATTTTGCGTTAAAACGAAAGACATAGAAGAACCAAAAAAAGGACAAGTAGACGAACAACCAAGCAACGAAGAAGCACACGGAACAATAGATGACAACATTGACAACAACACAGGAAAAATAAGAGGGGAGAAATGAATAACCAATTCAAACAGTCCTACGGGGACTTAAAAATTCAATTAAACTTTATCATTTTTCCCGAGGAGGTGGAATGTCATCCGGCATGGATAGATAAAACTCCATGTTAAACTTCTTATGTATTTATATATCATTTATATTTTTATATTATATAACATTAATGTGTACTGGTCGATTGACCTTGATAACAAGGACGAGAACAGCGTCAAAAGTGAACTACGGTTCAGAGCGTAAATAAACGTTACATAAACAAGTTGTTTTTAACTTCTTCTCTCTCAATCTCGACATTATCGATCCATACGGATTCAATGATTAACAACTCATACCTTGAGGAAATAGCGTTATGACAATTTTGAACCAGAGTCTTCGCAGCCATTTACAAAAAAACATACATTTTTGTAATAATTTTGAGTGAAATTCAATTAGTATCTGACTTGGCTGCTAGTTGGTTTAGGAAAACCTACGTATGGCTAGTAGGTCATACATAGGTTTATCTGCGGTTTCAATACCATTCAATCCTTTGAGGTTCTCATTTGAGAAAACAGTATGGAAAAAATGCTTATCATTTAATAACATTGTAAGGAAAAAAGCCTATTAAGTGATTTTCATACAATTTTTTTTAATTCTATGGAATTGTATGAAATTTTATGATCAGCGTTTTCCATATTATGGAACTGTATGACAAGCATTTTTGTCATCGGGGCTGTTTTAAAGACTGATTTTATATTTATTTGATTATTTTTATTTCAGGAGAAATACCGGCGAGGGGAGATCATGATCACTCTTACTTACAACCCTCTCACTGGCATTCTCACCGTCACCATAGTCAAGGCCAGAGACCTCAAACCCATGGATATCTCCGGCACATCTGGTCAGTTTGAGTTAGACACCTAGATTTTAGTAAGACAAACATCACGACGCCGCAACATTACGAGGCCAAACTGAGTATTTTCTGAATTGTAAGCGGATTGATCGTTCCGAAAAAACTTTAACATGTTTAAAGATTTGTCTCTGGAATCCAGAAAAATACAGACACCAAATTGTGCGCCTATCCATTGCACAGTTTGCCCAGGTCTAGTCATCCTGAAAATCTTACCAATATCTTGAAGAATCTTGAAGATTTATCAAAAATAGCAAAGAAACTTGAAAAATTTTCATGAGTTTTCGTCTAAAAATTATGAACCCACCTCAGAAACCTGTATGATGGCTTCATGATTCTTTGCAATCTTTGCTTTTTATCTTCAAGATTCTTAGAATTTTCTCAAAGATCTTTACCGATCTTCAATATTCTTGACACAATCTTACCTTTTTTTCGAAGATTTTTCTTCAAGATTTTTCAAAGAATCTTCAAGATTTGTCAAAGATTGCAAAGATTGCTGGGGGGCCTGGGTGGCCTCTTAATGAATGATGCTCTATGCGAGTTTGAAGAAGAAGCACGGTGTGGTAGTTAAACATGATCAGATTAATGTTTATACGACTGAGGTTACGCAAACCTCAGTTACACAAATATGCACTGAAAAATAAGCAAAAATTGTTATTGCATAACCGAATTTAGTTTTGTGGAGAAAAAACTTTAAATTTCTTTTTGCCAAGCATAATGCGCTAAAAGGGACGGTATTTTCCGGGAAGATTCTGCCATTTTTTAGGTCGACCCAATTGTTTTCCGAGCAATCTCAGAACACTATTATTACCTTACTTTGATCAAATTTTCTGAGCCGCAGGAAAATTTTTGAAAAAACAGGCCAAAAAAAAAGCGTTTTAAGCACTTTTTGGAAAAAGTTGACCAATCTGGAACATTTTGATTGCGCTCCTTTTCAAAGTAGGTCCCTTTCTTATTGTCGCAAATTGAGACAATAAATCCTTTTTTTTGTCATTATTACAAACGTTTTCATAAAATATAATCAATCAAAATCCATTTTATTGGAAATATATTAAAATACATTATTTGAAATTCTTTAAAATAGATTATAAGGTATTATAATCCTAATTTTTTTTGCAAAATTGTTGTTGAACTTTTCAAAACTTCTGCTGTACTCGCGGCGTACTCGAAATTTAAATATACCCGCACTAAATAATCGAATATAGTGGTGTATATTGCCAAAAAATAATCGAATATAGTGGAGTATATTAGTAGAATATACCCGCACTAAATAATCGAATATAGTGGAGTATATTGCCAAAAAAACATGACCCATACTATCAATTTTCATGACCAATCTAACCAGAAAAATGGCTTTTTAGGTGATGAAATCGATTAATTTCTGTCATCAAAAAAGTATTATGATCCAGGGGCGGATTAAGGGGGGAGGGACGCCCCTCCCTCAGGGATTTGACCCCCTGCCGACCCTTTGATACTTTTTAAGAAATCCATTTTTGGCCGATCGACCGTAAAATTTTTCTGAAGGCGCCTTTGGTGCCAATACATACTAACTTTGAGGGGGAGCGTGCGCCAAAAAAAACGCAATTTTTTTGGTCAAATTTTTCCAAAAAGTGCCCAAAAACTTGCCTGCGGCGCAGAAAATTTGACCGAAACCGCGTCTTCATACTGCTTTAGGAGAACTCGGAAAATCAAAAGAACTCGGAGAATCAAAATGGATAAAACTTTTTCAAAATTTTCATGAAAATCCGCCCCCCCCCCTCGAGAAACTCCTAGATCCGCCCCTGTTATGATCATTCATAATCGATAATTTATTTTAGTTTCAATATTATCAATTATTTTTGTTCATGAAATCCATGAAAATCGATTTCGTTTTGCAAGTATGAAATGTTTACTCAATTTTTGCAGCTATCTGCAAAAACTCAAACGAGAATGTTCATACCTGTGTACCACGACAACCCCCCCCCCCGCCCCCTCCCTCCAACGCTCGGTATCCGGCTTTACTTTAACGTCCCTCACCCCTTTTAACCCCCATACCCACGCCCACCTACCACACACACACAAAGCACACCCTTTCCAACTCCGCCCGCACCTCAATTCTCACCCCTCTTCTCATATATACCCTCCCCTAGCTAACGACCCCCGAGTTTTTACTTCCCATGTGAACAGGGGGATCAAAATCTATAGACGTTACGTTACGTTCAGCAACCACCATCCCTGGTACAAAAGGACACTGAACATGAAATGGTAGAGAAGGAGGGGAGCAAAATGGATAAAATAGCGTAACAAAAGTCGAGAAACAAAGAAGTTCTAGAAAGAAGTTGTGAAATAAAAAAGTTGAAAGCGGCAGAAGTAAGTCTCATTTTTGCAGTTTTTCTATAACGAGTATTAAGCCAAAAGCAACTCTCAATTTTAGAAAACGTTGCACTCTGTTTGAAAAACATCAACAAAACTAAACAAAGTTTCAACACCCATTATAATCAGTTATAATCGATCAAAGTAGATTTTATTGATTTGACAAAAAAAGATGACAACCTATTTTTAATCAATTATAAGTCACTTTTTTGTATTTTGTGAATGCTGGCCATCAAACTTAATATAATAGATTACTATTCGTGAAACTCTAGTGCGGGTAATCTTTTTATGTAAAATGCGCGTTTAAACGTACTCCCTCTCCTTTCCGTTCGCGTGTTCAACCCCTTCACCTGCGATTAATAGCCACCCCAAACCCTCTCCGCGTTTACAAATCCGCACAGACCCCCAACCGCCGCCTCCTCCCTCTCGCATCTAAGTTTAGGCGTTAGTAATCGATTATAACGGATTTTTATGATGATTTTTTGACAATTAATATTGATTATAATTACCAAAATTAGGTGTTAAATGGATTTATAATTGATTATATTTGTGATATTTTCCAAGAGATTATAATTTCTTATAATCGATTATATCTGATTATAGCTCTTAGAAAACCCTTAAAATCAGTTATAATCGATTATAATTGATTATAATCTCTTATTTTGCCAAAACTTTGTCAGCTCAAAAAACAATATTTGAATTATATTTAATGGGTTAATAATTTTGTGCCAATAAGAAAATCTCTAAACGAGAGATCTCTTGAACACTTTGGATCACCTGAACACAAAGTTTTGCCACAAAACAAAAATTTCATAGAGATCCTTTCATATTGGTGAAAAGATTCCCGTGGTAGATTAAAAATAAATTTTCCGAATCAATCATGGACCTAAATCAATTTTCTGATGTTTTGGTGGTTGAAAAAACTTGAAATATGCATCAGAAAACAATTCTAATAGGGAATAAATGAAAAAAAAACCTATAAATTTGAATTGATTGCATAACTTTAAAATAATGTTTCTCATTTTTCATAGGAACGTCTACAAAAAGCATAAAAAATAAGCAATTTAGATGCAACTTCGAAGACAAAATGGACAAAAAAAGGAATTATAATCCATTATAATCGATTATAATGGATTTTTGGGCAAAAATAATGAATTAGAAACATGAATATAAATAATGGATTATAATCAAATATAATTGATTATAAATAATTGTATCGAAAAAAAAAGACGAATAAATAATCGATTATAATCGATTATAATGTATTCTAATTAACTATAACTTGATTTTTAAAAGAGAGATTCTAATCAATTATTAATTGATTAAAATTGATTGTTTCTCAATTTTAGCAAGACTGGCACTAAAATTGTAATGTAATCGATTTTTAACGCTTGAAACTGGATGCGGGCTGTTTATTTGAAAGGGGTCATGTGGGGTTAAAGCGCGGCGAGGGGGTTGTAAACGCGGGGAGGGTTAAACGCGGGAATTTAAACGAAATGTAAGTGAGGGGGCAGAATAAACGTGGGGGTCTCATATGCTGGAGGAACGGCAAGAGACGCAAGCTGCTTCAGGGCGAGAATAGAAAATAAGGAAAAAAATGAGGAGCTAAAAAAAATTATGAGATTCTCGTTTTATCTGATGTAACGAGTATTAAGCAAAAAACAACTCTTTAGTATTGAATGCAGCATTGCGTTTGAAAGTTTCAGAAAAACTTTACAAAAAAATTATTATAATCCATTCAAATCGATTATGATCGATTATTTTTGAAATTTTTAGAAATTGACTTCGAAAGTTGAATATAATGGATTATAATATTTGTAACTCCAGTGCGGGCCGAACAAAAATTTTAAGGTTGGTCGGCCAAAAGCGGATGTCGTAAATTATAACAAAGGGGGGACCTTTTGGTTGGCGAGTGGGACGAGTCCCCGAGGAGGGGACGTCGGGATTCCCGTCACCCCTCTAAAAATCCGCTCCTGGATATATTAGATAGTTTTCGATGATTAAATTGTTTTTTTTTGTTTGAAACAGACCCGTACGTGAAGGTATACAACATGTATCAGACTAAACGACTGCAGAAAGTGAAGACAACTACCAAATACCAAACTTTGAACCCAGTGTTCGACGAAAACTTTTCCTTCACAATTCCCACCCATAAACTGGAAGACACACAAATCGTGGTCACAGTCATGGACAAGGACCTTATCAAGTGGAACGAAAAGATAGGTATGGGCAAGTAAATATGACCTTGAATCAAGTAAACCTTGGCGGAACAAGTTAACAACCCCCATCCTAAAACGTTTTAGGGAAGAGAACTATAACTTTGGTTCTAGATTAGAGTTTTCATCCAATAAGAATCGAGCAATATACACGCAGTCCTGTGAAATTCTATTCCAAAAGTAAAATTTAGGTAGATGCTCTTAACTTGGTCTATTTAGGTGCGAGGACTTTAACTTGATCCAAGCATTCTGCTCCTCAAAAACACCAGACCAAGTCAAGATTTTCCATCGATCTACTTAACCATCTTATTGGGGCTAATTTTGATGTGCTGCTTGTCAAACACTCAATTCTGGTTGGCCGAAAGTTCACACTTAAAACCATTCTAAAATCGTACCGTCTTCAGCTTTAGATGAATGCTGCTACTTCATGTAAGATCATAACAAGGAGAACGGAAAAATAGGGTGACAGTTAAGACAACTGGGATCTATTCTAACCCAACTGCAGCCTGATTAATCTACTATAAATCAATTATATGAATGATAAACAGTTTGAGCTAAGTAACTTATCCTGGAAATTATCACACGACTTTTACTTGCCACATTAAATATCCCAAAGGGGAAAATAGTGCAAGTATCTGAAAAATAACTGGGAAGACAATTTTCGGTGTTTTAGCAAGCAGTTATTGGCAATTAAAAAAAAATTGAACCAAAATGCGTTGATAGATGAAAAACTATCGCTTTGTACTTGAGATTGTCTATGGGAGATGTTATGTGAAAAACTTTCAAGACTTTCATTTCAAAAGTTTATCCTTAATTTACCAGAAACTAAATCAGATTCTAAAACAGGAACTAAATCAGATACTTGAGGGGCAGTCAAAGCATACCAAATTTGCCCCGATAGAAGTCGTAATGTGACAACTTGCACCAAAAGAAAACTCGCTTTAAAAGACAACTCAGATTTTACTCACCACCGCAGTCGCGCCATCGTGTTGCATTCATGCCAAGAGAGTTAGGACTTTACACGATATCTGGAGCCGGTTATCGCCCACAATCGGCAAATCACTGGTAGCGCGCCAACCGACAACTATAAGCCGAAACTCTCAACTTTTGATTTAGTTTTCTAATTTTGCGAGTTGTCGCTTTCTTTAAGTTTTGTGAGTTGGCTTTTGGAGCAAGTTGATTTTTGCTGCGAGATGTCGCAGCACCGGTAAAAGTAGTCTCGACTAGTAGGAGAGTAATTCAAAAAAGTTTTTCTTGATTTTATAATCAAGACTTCAAACTTTTTTTATATGAACTACCATCAAAATTCTACCGTTTATTATTCGAATATTTGGACTTTCAATTGCTCACCCTAACTTCTGACACGCCCTTTGTTTTCAAAAATTATGCTAGCGTTTAGACAGAGTGCTTAAAATTTCAAATAGCCCCTCTGATATAAAATTTTCACAAATAGTCAAACCCTACAAAAATACTGCGCACGCCACTGTTTGCCTAGTGTGTTTTGTTTGTTAAACGGTCTGACCATTTTTTCAGCAATGAAAATGATTCAATTATTGAAAATCAATGTGTTATTTTTTGCGGTACAACCGCATTCAAGAATCAGGAGCAATTGGATGAGAACACTTTCCTAATTAAAAATCTGCTCTTTGGAATTTTTTGTATTTTACAAAAAGCTATCATAATTATACAACCCTTACTGACAAAGCTGAGATAGAACCTGAAGAAATTTATCATACGGACATTTTAAAGCAAAAAATTTGATTTCAACAGATTTCAACATTCATTCAAAACTGACTCAAATGGTTTTAACTGTTTTGGCTTTCATAACGAAAGTAACGGAATATTTGTGCTCGGGTGGTTTTTTTATTCAGAAAAAATTCGACTTTTTAAAAAGTTTTTTGAGGAAATTTTTTTTTATATCATTCGAAATTTATTGTTGTCCTGAGCTTAAATTTGAGAAGATATTTCACCTGTGATTATTTTTTGTAACGTTATGAGGGTTTAGTGATTGCCATTTTGGCTAAATTGGGACAATTAACAAGCGATTTATTTCGAGCTGTTAACGCGTAAGCGGAGGTTTAATCCGTCTTAGTAAGCGGGCATAGCGTGGTTGAAGCAGGTTAGTTGACTTAAATGATTTGTTACTAGGAGCTAAATCTATGACTTTGTACTTCATCTGGCGTGTGGGGGATGATTTTCACAAAAACTTATAATTTAAAAAAAGTTTTTTTTTCTACATTTAGTTTTTTCATGTGGTTACTGCTCCATAGACCTTAAAAGGCAGTCGGAACATTCAAGGTTTGGCCCTGATACAAGCAGTCTTGTTAGATTCTGAAACCATCAAAAGTTTAACAAATACTTTTCGAATCAATAAGTATCAATTTTGAACAAAGTAATTCCATTTCACATCGAACTAAATCATTTTTTTTTGCTTCTCTAGACATTAAGTATCAGTTTTAAACATACTAAACCAGTTTCATATCAAACTTAATCATTTGTTTTGCTTCTATAGGTTAGATTGTTGCTAAAAGCATGATATAAAAAGTTTCTTAATGATTTTTACAAAATTGCAAGACAAAATAAGCTTTAAAAAAAGGACTTTTTGAGCAGAAATTTTGGAATAGCGAGAAGACAAACAATTTTAAATCAGGTTTAAATCAGGCAAAAGTGTATCTGCAGTATAGAAACTATTTTGGACGCAAAACAAGAAATAGAAAGAAGAAAATGAGCAAAATCAGTCAGGTTTTGGGCTCACTGGGATAAAAAAGCCAAAAAATATACAAAAAGTTTACTTTCATAGAACTAAACTTTTTCAGGATTTTATGAAGGCAATCGGAACATTCAGGGCTTTGCCCGGATACGAGCAGTCTTGTTTAGTTTGCAATCCATAGGTTAAACCATTTTCGAAACGATTTTTGTTGCTCGTTTTATCATCTTAGAATGACTCAAAAAGTGATTTTAAACCGCTTCAAATTTTAACCACTTTACTAGTTACTCTGCAGTTTTTGTTAGCAAAATTCAAATCATTTTCTAGTTGAAATCTATAAAAAATAGTTAACTGAAGATTTTAAAAACTTGTCAAAAAAATCATTTTAAGAAAAACAGAAGAAACTTTGTTTTCATGCTGGAAGAATGCCGCAACTATTGTGTAGATACTGCAAAATATTTGGTCCTTACAGGTTTTCGACCACTCATCGACGCACAGAATCATTTTTTGTCCCCTCAAAATTTTCGAGCTTTTCTCCTCCGTGGTATACACTGCAGAATCTTTGTCCCCAGTACGTTTATGTTCGGTGGTTTACAACTTTTCCTCATCGTGAAAAAGAGACTTTTGAATTGATGGCAATCTACTGTATAGAATTCGATCTTATCCGCTATGAAAAAACTCCCAATTGTTGAGTCAATAATTTTTTTCGTCGATTGATGTTTGAACAGTAAATTTGGCAATTTTCGACTGTTTTGGTTTTGACTGACGCCTCTTTAGACTTCCTATGCTCTGCGTAAGGATTCCGCTTTCCCTATGCGTTACCAATGCTTCGTGCCCGTAGATTTTGCTTTTTGTCTTTCCAGATCTTTCATAATTCTCCCAGATCGAATCAAAAGGGCGGACACAAGAACCAGGCATTATGTCAATTTTATCTAAATTGAGTCAGTTTGTAACAATTATAAATAACACGTATGGATAAATAACTTTAAATAACAGTTTTATAAACAGTGTAACAATTAAGGTTTGTAATAACAGTTCAACCCTACATGTCTTCTTTAAATATGTAAAAAAAACTTTTTCAATTGAAGAATCCCAAAAAACCCCAAAGAAAATTTTTAATTAGAAAAAAAAACAACAATATTTGGTGATGCCTAGAAAAATATAAAAACACTGATTGCAGAATTTGGGCAATTTGTTCGCGATTTCTGGTTGTCGAAACTTATAACACAATTTTTATAATGCGACAACGCGCAACGAAAGACAACTCGAACTGAAAGTTACAACTAGGAAACTACTCACCACCGCAGTCGGGCCCTTAATCCAATTTTCTACAGCTATAATTTTATTTTCAAACTGCGAGTTCTCACTTTCCTCAAATTTTGCGAGCTATCTTTTGCTGTGAGTTATTTGTGTGGTACCGATACTTTTAACTAGGCGTTGATAGAAAAACCAGATTTGCTTAAAATGAATTAAACATAGATTAAAATTTTTGTTTATTGAACATTTTTTGAAATTGTGTCACTGTGAGTTTATATCCGGGGTGGCCTTTTCATAGAGTAATTTTGGATATGTTACACCGTCTGTTCGTCAATTGAATATATAAATACTTTTGAATTAGTTCCAACTGTTTCAATTAATTGGCTGGTAAGAAATAGGGAAAAAGGCGGGATGCCCGAAAAGATTTTAGCTATTTTGAATTTGATGTTGTTTTTAATATCAACGGGTGGGTCTTAAAAACTTAAAGCAGGTGTGGATCTAGGGTTTTTGCGAGGGAAACATTCGAAAACATGTCTATGAAACTCCTAAATCTTCTCAAACATTCAAAAGACTCTGCATGAATTGTGAAAAAAACTTTTGCCAAAAAGCCGCTTTTACTCAGTTGTGAAAGTATTTGAACAAAAAAATATATTTTTTGTTGGGCTCAAAATTAAAATATTTTAATAATGAAGGTTTGTCGGCAAAAAGTAGACGTCCTAAATAAGTATTTACAAAGAAAGGGCTCTTTGTGTAATTAGAATGTGGAAATCCCGGTGGCCAAAGAGGATAAGTTACTGGCTTAAAGGGTTTTTTTTTCGTAAGAAATTTTCGGCCGTTCGGCGCTTCTATCATAAGACTTGCGACCTTAAACCAGCGACAAGCAGTTTGGCTAAAATTGTTTCTTGTACAGGCAGCGTGCTGTTAGGAAGAAGAGCGGGCCAACGAGAGATGCAACACTGGCGAGAAATGCTGACCAAAAGACGACAGCCAGTCACAATGTGGCACTACTTAAGGATCGACCAGGACTACTAGCGACCCCCTCTTCCTTATCAACCCCCCCCCCCCCGCAGCACCCGTCGCACCTCAACCCTGCTCAACGAACCCTCTCACACGATTGAAACCATAACATACCATTAATACAGGCAGCATTACAGCATCATACAACTATTTCTGAATTCCAAACCAATTCAATTTAGAGATTAAGATAAAGAAAACAATTCATAATTTTTATGAGATACATTTTCGCATTCCCAATCTGTTGCCAAATGTTTTACCGCAACTTGTGGATTTTTAGAATCAATTTAGCTTCGATCTCCGATGTTTTTTTATTTAAACGACTAGCAGTGAAAAGAGAATGTTAATTCGTTTGAGATCCAATCAAGGTTCCATGGTCGAGAAAAATTGGAATTACTGGAAGAGGTCCTCAAAACTTGACCAATTTTCATGGATCTGTTGACTACCCCCGTAATAATCGGTTTATCTGACACTTCCGGAAGTTACAAAAATTTAATTCTTTTTCTTTTAGACCTCAAAGTTGCTTCCTCTTTGAGCATTGTGAGTTATGACTGTACAACTGTATTCTAAGCTTAATTCAAATTGCTCTGGTGCTGAAACTACAAGTAGTTTCAGCACTTACATAAAAGTGGGTTGTTAGTTTGATGGAGTATGATTGGTTAGTATTCAATATTTTATTGAGTTAAAACATCATAATACTATCCAATAATAAATTCTGGCTTAGATCTGGTTCCACCCATCCGGGGTTTACAGAGTTTTAGTTCTTCAGTGTTCTACTGTAGTGGAGAATGGATGATGGTGTCTTTCTTTAGAAGTTGCGAGCATATTCTTTTTTACGATTACGAAGAACGATTGTTATCACGATCGTTTTGGGAGATCGTATCATGATTTCTGATCGGTTGTGATGAGTGTTGATTAGTTTTATTAGAGAATCGCAATGCTCCAATCTCGTTTGGATGTGGCATGTATTTTGAATTTGGATGAAGTGCCTGGTGACTTGGATCTGTACGTATACTTGAACATCGAGATAGCCATTGTTCTGTTTCAATGGGTTTCCTTTGTTGCGATGCCAAGTTGTACTTTAAATCCTTTGAGTGTAGTGACTGAAGGCAGCATGTCGGGTTTGTTTTGCCATTCCGTAGTTGGAGTGTGACTGGGTTGTTAAGTTCCTTGCTGCTCGTCTTTGGGCTGTAAGTAATCTATATTCTGCATTGTTTTATATACATATACAAATCTTTGTTAATTTTGTTTTTAGTTATGACCTTGTATTAATTTTTATCGCAAAAGCGTTATTGTTTAGTTCGGTTATTTTTAAGAGCTACTCACCCTTGAGTAACTCTTGTCAAAAATAGAGTGTTGATCACCAAGCGTGGATGTAGCACGGTAGATTAGGCCGGCTATAGAGCATGCGCAGGACGTCCTCTCTGGTGGGTTAGGCCAGGAGCGGAGTATAAATTCATGCTCTCTTTTTTGGAGGGTCTTTTTTGTGTTCAACCTTTGGTGCCTTTTTTGTTACTGGTTTTTCCCTCTTTGTCTTGGTTGTGTCCTTTTCTTCAAATTTCAAATCGTTTGTTTTGGGTTTGTTCTTCGACTTTTTTGTGTTTTGTTTTTTTTTGTGTTCAGACTTGAAAGTAGTCTTCAAAAGAATAGTTTATCCAGTTCTAAGCTGGTGTTAGTCCGGTTTGGGTACCGTGGAATTTCTTTTCTTAGTCATGCTGTTAGGTTGTGATTTGTGGTGTTTAGTAAGCTGCGTTGGTTAGTTTGGATTATTATATAATTCCTTTCCAATCGGGTTAAAGAAAAAGTTTGAAATGTGTTAAAACTGGTTGGAGTTGTTATCGGTGAAAGTTAAAACTTGAATTCATTATTTTAAACAGTTCTTCGTGGGCGAGCTGTGCGATTGTGGATAGGATTGTGGGCAAGTGAACATTTAAAACTATAAAGAAGTGTCTTTGAAAAGATTAGTACTGCTTCAATTCTATAGGCAACTATTATTAATTTTTTATTTTTGAAATTATTAATTTTACGGCTTTTATTTGCGGGTTAAAATTATCAATTAATTTTCATTTTAAAAATATTTACTGCATATGGGAAAAGAGTTTTCATATCAATTTAATGCTGTTTTTTGGGGGTAAATTTTACTGCTTCACTTATTGTATTTGGTTAATATATTTTATGATTCTAGAAAAAAAAATTCTGTTTTTTTTTCTCGTTTTTCTTTTTTGTAGATGATTGATAATTGTGCCTGTGAAGACTAGAGAAAAAGAGAAAACATTTTTAAAGATTGGTTAGTTTTCGTTCTAATTTGTTACTAGAATATATTTAATTTATATTACCTTATTCGTCTGTGAAGAATTCGTGGGGAAAAACGTCGTGGATGATTTCTGATGATGTTAGTAATTTAGCTATCTAACGAAAGATGTGTTTAGTTTGGAGAAATGGCCAAAGCAATTTGCGTGCTCTAATGATTTTATGCTCTTCAGTGCTAGGTGAGAGTTCGTAAGGTGTGTTTTGGATGAGGTTACAAAATTTATGATTATATCCTCATTTTGGATGAGGTTATAAAATTTATGGTTATATCCTGGTGTTATGGATGAATTCTAGGACCGTGTTTTCAATGGGATGTAGGAATTCGTGTGGGACGATTAGTGGGCGGGATTCGTCTACGTTGAAGATTTTGGTGTGGTTAAGGGACAGAATATATACATCTGGGTGATGGGATCATAATTGCGGAGGATGCCTTGTAGGTAAGTGTCTTTAATACAATAAGTGATGTTAAGAAAGGATGGTGAGGTATATTTGGAGTTAATGTATTGATATCTGTGGTGAATTTGTCGTGCTGGTGTATTATGAGTGTAATGATGTTGGATGAACTTATAGTAAGTATAAGTGTGTGTCTGTTTAGTTCGTAACATGATGTCGTGTGAACAGTGCAAATCACGTTCTTTGGGTGTGAGGAAATGAAAGGTTGAGTTAGAAATGAGTTAGAAATTGTTAAATTTGTTAAAATATGAGTCATAGGTTCGAATATTACGAAGTGGTGCTGAAATGACGTGGTCTAATTTTTTTATCTAAAGTATTGAGGGTGAAAACGTATGGTGTTTTAATGAAGAATGTTTCTGTTAGTTGTGGGTTAGCAAATTTATGGTCGTTCAGAAAGGTGTCTTCGTTTGGTCTTTGGATGTGATGGTCGTAGTGATCGATAGAATTTTTGTTAGTTTTGGGTTCGGTGAATCTGATAAGTGACTGTTTGTATCCTGTTTGTGTATATTGTTTTGGAGTGAGTGCTGTTGTTAAAAGGTAGAGTTGAATGCTGCATTGTTCGCTATCAGATGGGGTGTTATATGATGGTAAGGGTAGTGGATTAGTGAAGTGATAAAATGATGTCCATGAAAGTGTTGGGTATAATACGTGCTCATTAAGAGAATTAGGGTGTTCGTCAATAGGTTCTGAATGAAAGTAGGTGTATTGGGGGAAAAAGGGTAAACATATTTGAAGAAATTCTTTAGTGTTAGTGTGGAGTTGATGATTAAAAAATGTTGAGGCCGTTCCTGGGTGAGAGGGAAATGGAGTATTGGGGAATTTCCTTTTCAAGGCTCAATAAGCTCGGTTTGTACTAGATGAGGATGGATTTGACGAGGGAGTTGGGTTTTGCGAAGGGTTGTAATTTGAAGGGGGAGTTGTGATTGATGGGTTTGATGGTATTATGGATTGTGAGAGTTGGCGAATGGTTAGTATATGAGGGTGCTGTAATTGTTGCTGAAGTGTGATAAAATTGTCAAGTTCATGAGATAGTTGTGTATTTACAGAGCTGTTGTTGTCTGAACGTACACTGGTCAAGGGGAATATGTGGGTGTTACATAGGAAATAGAAGAGGAAGTGGAAGGAGGTTCAAATTTTAATTGGGAGTGGAGAGGTTGAAAAGGAGGTTGGGAAAATGTAGATGGGCTCGGTTCGGAGTTGTCAGATTTGTCAGGGGTCTCGAGATCTGAGTTTTTAAATCGGGAAATAGTATTATTTATAGTGGTGTTTGAATTAGTATCTGAATCCATGCCGGATGAAGTGCTATCTTGATGTGATTCAGGTGGGGAAAGCAAAAAGTGGTATGAGGGGGAGGTTGCTTTGAAGGTTGACTGGGTAGGAATTGGAGCGATGGAGTGATCCAACTCGGCGGCTCATCGTGGGCTAAAAAGATGGTTGTTTTGAGAACGAAAGTTCGTAGTATGTGGTTGTTCTATAATTTGATCGTATGTGTCTTGTATATTATATTCTTGGGTTAGTATGCGTTGAATTGGGTTTTGTGAGTAATTAGGTCTTGAAGATATGAGGACTGTCTTCTGAAATTTCGTGGTACTAATGATAAAGGATGGTTATGGTTTAGGCTTTGTAATTGTGGTGCCGTATGCGTTGTTTTCGTATTGTTTTTGAATTGTCATATATGTTCGGTGTTGTTGATAGTTTGGTATTGTATTCTTTTATTTGAGCGTCTAAAATTATTTTATTTATTGATGTAGAGAATATTCCAAAAAAACCTGCAAAAAGTATGCGTGCTACGCTTACTTGTTTGTTTACTTGCGCATGTACTGTAGATTCCTTTTAGTAGAGAAAAAGGAAATCCAAGAAAGTTAAGTATTGCGTATAATATAGTCAATCTTTCTAAGATGTAGTAGGGCCATCCTAGAAAGGCAAGAAGTTCGTTTTTCAAATTTACAAAACAAAAATTTTTTATTGGTGATGTATCTTGTGGTCTGTATTTTTTGCCATTTAATAAAAGGTAATCTTTTGTATCTTTGAAATATCCGCTGTAGTCTTGTGCGTAGATATTTGAAAAGCCTGCTGTTTCTGCAAGTTTGCGTAAGTTTTGATCTATGGATTGTCGTTGTATTTTCCATTTTTGTGAGTAGTTCTTGAAATTGTTGTGTACGCATGTGGTGTTGAATGGCGGATTTAGAGTGTTTGCCGATCGATTGTAAATCGATATTTGGATTGCGGGCAAAAGCTCTAATGCTTTCTGGTGAAAATGTTTTTAATGGTTGCATAAGTGTAGGGTATGGTGTGAGAAGGTAGTATTTATCTTCATCAGGATTCAATTGTGTTACATTCTGGCTGTTTGTTGATCCACATGGGTTTCTGTTTCCCAAAAATAAGTTCCTCGTGAAAGTGTATCAACAAAATGTACTTCATTTTTTATAGAATATTGGGATTCTTTTATAGCAACTTTTATCTTCAAAAACATATAAGGGTGATACTTTTTTGGTACAAGTGT